CGGTTCAAAGCTAGTGTATCATAGGCTTCCTTGGAGAGAGCCTGATACACCATACTCACTAGAGATTTTGTATGAAGATGATGATTTGGTAGCTTCCCATGTTAGGCATAACATAAAAACCTGTTCTTCGTAACAATCTAGACATTGTATTGTTCTCGATTCTTGTTTGGATATGTTGTTAATTCTTACTGGGATCGGCTTATTACAACTGAATTTAGCACCGTGAAGCTGTTGCTAAAGTTTGATTTCTTAAAGACTGTAACATTCTGCCGTTTCAAGTATATGGTTGATACGGTGTTTGTTAATGCAGATTGCTTTTAACAAGCCCTCTGGTCTCCAAGTATTGCCTGGAGGGCTTTTTCAGCAGCGGACTGTGTTAACACAACTTCAATGGTGTTTCGATGGGAAGAATATTTCAATGGGAAGGCGAGAATCACACCCTGTCCCTGTCCATCGGCTTGGTAGGGGAACATCAGGTGAGCCTGTACACTTGTTTCTTGTCTTTAATTGACCAACTAAGAGTCGAGTATTCTGATAAGTGTCCCACATTGGAAAATGAGAGGGATTTGGGCCAGGCTCATACCAATTAATAAGGTTTAGGTCCTAACTCCACCACAAAAGCTAGCTTAAGAGTAGAGGTTTGACCCTTACTCATATGTTGGCCCATCCCTCTCATTTTCCAATGTGGGACACTTATCATATTCTCCTTTAGAAATGGTGTATCTCGTTCCTTCTTAATGCACAAATCACTAGACTTACCAGTTGACATCTCGAGAGCAGCTATAAACAATGAATCTTCAGATATTTATCACAGCTGGAAAACACGTTAATTATATGTTTTTATTGCTTTCTGTTCCGTTTTAATTGACGGGCTCTTTCTTAGGTGTGCTTCTATGTGCAAAGACAAAGCTTGCAAAGACTAAACTTGCAGCTTATTTTGCTGAGGGAACATCGCTTGTTGATGCAGACAGGTGAGTGGAGACACCATTTCCGGCTTCCTATCTTTCGGTTTCATGTTCATTTTGGAGATAACCTTAGATTCTTGTATATAGAGGTTTTTTTATTCATTGATTGTGAAATACTAACATCTTAAGTTCGACCGGAAGTTTAAGTGTTTAACAGAGTTTGCTGTTGGTGAAGGCTTCTGAAGTATGGTTTTAAGGATAACGGACTAATATAGTGGACAAGTTTTACAAGCATTTTTCTTTGGTTAAGTTTTATGTACCCAAAGTCTGGTAGAAACAGGAGTTTGGGCCTTTGGGGGAATTATTGCCTTGGACAAAATTCCGTAAAATAGCACATTTTAACGGAAACAAGAAATCTCAAAAATCTGGTTACAGAAATTAGCAAATTAGCAATGTGCAATAATTGAATCTCTTGTGTTGCTTTCTTATTTCGTGTCCAGTTATTCATTACTCGTAATACAGTTCCTGACTTTAAGCTTACTGATAACTGATAAGAGATAAAATATCCGTTGGTACAGCAACGTGGATCAAGAGCTTGGGACAGGAAGAAAAATATTAAAGATATACCGAGCACTAGCAGATGGTGTAATTGAAGAAGACAAGGCAAGGCCACATTGTTTTTATTCCCTACTTTGCATTTTCAAATGCTTCGTGTATATGTATGGTCTGTGTGTGTATGTGTTTCTGCATGCTTTACTTGTGTACTCTTATTTCACGAGTGAAACCTGAGGATGCAAAGTTTGTAACCTTAAAACACTGTCCTTGACAATATTTGTCATTTTATTGCACTTCAAAGGTAATTGTAAGACAACCGATTGGAATTGTTCAATATCCTGGTGTGGCGAGAGGGCTTTATGTTGCTTCCCCAACAGGTTATTTCATCTACTCTATCGTAGTCTGTCTCTTTTTTGTGTGTTCTTTTTTAGCTGAACCATCACTTGCTTTCTGTAAGTTTTATATTTTCATTCCCGATTGCTAGCTTATATTTGTCTGTCTTTTTTGCCTTCATCAGGCAGACCTGCTTTCAGCAAAGTTGATGTTCTTGAGAGAGACAGAGAAAGAAACTGCACGCTGGTTCAGGTTATATTTCCTGTTTGATGATGCCAATGCCATGTATTACATTAACTTAGATTTTCCTTTAGTGTATGAAAGAAGGATCAAAGTAAAATTCTTAACTCATCTGGTTTTGCGGGGAAACAGGTGGAGATACAATCTGGAAGACCACATCAAATCCGGATCCATCTTGCTTATATTGGACATCCATTAGTAGGTAAACTTTTAAACATCAGATTACAAATTTTACAACGTACATTTGGAGTTCTTCGTTACTTGTGGTAAAGGCATAAAATATAGGATCATTCAGCAAGTCACAAATGCATCAGTACAAATTAATACAAAGTAGGAAAATTTTGTCAAAATACAAAAAATATTTGGAGACAAAGAGGTATTTAGCATTTTTATGAATCTAGATGCATCAACCTTTAGAAACAAAGAGCCACAAGTCCCAAAAGGCTCTAACGTTTCAGAGCCTTGCTTCATGTTTTCTGCTCTGAGTATTATTGCCATCTGAGAATGTGATGACTAAACTTATTCTTACATGTTGTGTTCACCTTCACGATCTTTCATAAATAAACAGGGGATCCTCTTTACATTGCGGGAGGACAACCCAAATGCTTCGGTTCTGATGTTATGGATGGTACTTTTGCTGAAGACGGGTACATACTCTTATCACTTTCTCTGACATACATCACCTGTCCGGTGTATCGATACTTTTTCTTGGTTCCTGCTCATTAATGTCTGAGCCAAGATCAAACTATATTTGAGTGAAACATATCAAAGCAATGTGTAATGCACCAGCATATGCTGTCTCTTTGGATGCGGTTGAACTATTATGGGGCTTTCGCATGATCTTATAGACTTTAAAGAGTACACGAATGTATGAAACTAGCCAAGAATGCTTTCATATAGGTACTTGATAGAGTTACATGAAGTGAGCACTCTCCTACAAGGAAGAATTCCTTGTCTCTTGGCTAATTCACTGGATGATTCCCACATCCTTCTTATTCTTGCATTTATACCTGACATCCAGAAATAAGAAATCAGAAATTTCAATCAAGAACTGAAAACCAGCCCAGTCACCTAAGAAGACTAAATCAGCTAGTGATCTGATTACTGATTATAGAATCCGGCATAGTGATATGATTATATGCTTATCAATCTCTTACAGAATCTGATTAAGTCTCTCATGGCTGGATTTTTGCAGAGGGTATGAAAGGCCAACTCAGGCTGTACCTGGAGATTGTGGATATCATCTGCATGCTCATCAAGTGGAGCTTTCTCACCTGATGACCAGTAATAAGGTAAAGCCATCCAAACATATACGCCTAACCCATCCCCCCCCCCCCCCCCTCC